CCATTAATTTAATGTTTTGTTAAATTCCATCCAAACATGCTTTTTGCTGGAAACAGTAATGGAACAAAATTCACTCCAAATTAAAAAAAATAAATAAATGAAATCAATCAAATCAAATAAACAGAAAATACGCCTATTATTAAATAAGCTTGATAAATACACAAATTATTTTATATTTAATGTATACGTAATGATTTTAAAATGTTTAAAGATATTTCATTGTGAAAGTATATGTTTTGTGAATAGATTTAAATAGAAATCATTATAAATGCAAAAAAGGCCAAACAAATAGTTGTTCTTGGGGGGCCCCGTAGTTTCCCTGCATGGGGCCCTATTATCCGTAGCTTGGTTTGCTTACGCCTTGGGCCGGCTTTGACCCAGAGTGGCGGCTCCTCTAACAACTAGGACAGATATATATCACTGTACGCTCTGTTAAACACAGTTTGGGATGTTTTCTGCATCCTGCAGCGTGCGCTGCCACGCCGCTCCTCTAAGATTCGTGTTTAGAAAGGGAGATGCTTTCAGAGACAAGATTATGCAACAGAGCATTTGCCTGAAGCCCTCCGTTAATCCCGCCTTTTTCTGAGTGCAGAAATGAAACTCAGACAGCTAACGAAGCTTCGCTTTTCATGCTCAGGTTTGCATTTCTGTTCACGCTGCTGCTGATCAGAGGATCCAACCAGTGGGATTACCGTCCCAAACATGCTAATCCTGACAGGGAATATCTTGTCCATTTTCTGGAGAAAGTCGTTCAGGATTCTCTTGTAAACTAGTGAGTGAATGCAGTGATGGTTTGGTTCTGTTCACAGTAAACCAACACCTCGTTTCTGGATAATTGTTTTATGGGCATCATTAGCGGTCACCTCAGAGGAGGTTACAGTGGAGTGAAGCTCCTGATGTGTAGGTGGATCCCTCTAGTGCAGCAAACAGGTTCCTGTTTCAGCTCCTGCAGGATTAGATCTGAGCATAGACCTATTTTTAATCGATTCAAACACTGTGATGTAGAACATGCTGTAGTGCTGTTAGTATCGGAACTCTAAGAGGATTACTGTAGTCACATGGAGCCACTGGGCTCATTGTGCAGCAGGGGAACCTCTGTGTGCATTTGGCAGTGGAGTAGAGAGGATCTATTAGCAGGCTTTCACTGCTCATCTTTTACTACAGCACCCCCCCCATTGACATACATAGATAAGTTAAATGCACAGGTATTGATATTCACACACTGTCACTGTGTAATAACTACTTCTACATTTATCTTCACTGTTTTACATTTGATAATGTGTTTTTTTTCTTCTCCAGAGTAAATCTTTACATTTTCATCCAGCATCCACTGATTTCAGCATTGATTTAAATTCAATTTTCAGCTTCTAATGATGGAATAAAACCAGACAGAGATGATAAGTGTCAGGACTGTGGCACCTCTTGCTGAAAATAATGACACCCTTATTATTATTATTATTTTTTGTGTTTCTACTGCTTGTGTAATCCTTTGCCTGAAATCTATGCTTGCTAAAACTATGGGAAATGTAATGTTTCAGTATCGAATGTTTTCATAAATCCCTCTAGAAGAAGTACAACCCGTAGTTTAGTTTAATTTTCTCTTGTTAAATGCTTAACAAATGACAGCCTCATTGAAAAGGCAGCATGCAAGTAATTAGTACTTGAAATATGTTAAAGTTATGCTTCAAATGTAAATAAAACGATAAGCAGGAGAGAATTATTAGAAAATGTAAATGTTATCATTTTATTTGAAGTTACAGACATCTGGCCCATCAGGAATGTTTGTTGAAGTGTTGTTCTAAATATTTCTCTCTGGACCTGGTATTATCAAGCTATGCTGCCGTAGGTGACTGGTAACTTCTGACCCCTCCTGGTAACTTCTGACCCCTCCTGGTAACCTTTGACCCCTCCTGGTGACTTCTGACCCCTCCTGGTAACCTTTGACCCCTCCTGGTGACTTCTCACCCCTCCTGGTAACCTTTGACCCCTCCTGGTGACTTCTCACCCCTCCTGGTAACCTTTGACCCTTCCTGGTAACCTTTGACC